TTCCACCAGCCGTACTCCGCCCTTCCGTTCTATTTTGTATTTTCCCTCTGCGTAAATATCCCCGATATTACCCACTGCCAAGTGCACAACTCCTTCCTTTCTCTTCTGTGAGCAAAAAACTCCTCCCTTTCTCTTCCTCCGCCATTGGGACGTAGTTTTGTCTTCTATTTTTTTTTCTTCCAAACCCCCCCCCCCCCCATTGACTCCCCCTCCTTCAACCTTCAATTGCACTGAAAGTAATCTCTGTGGAGGCGTGTGAAATCTTTTGGCATCCCAGGGGCCGTTGACGGCCACCATAGCAGCGTACGGACTACAGAGATATGACAATTCATATCCAAGCGGATGGTTGAGACGAAGCAACATAGATATGACGACTCCCGACGAAGCATCGACAGAGACAGAGGAGGAAGGAATTGTGTATGCGGACAGAAAAAGAATGACTATGGAGATGGAGATCACGGCAGCGTCGACATGGTGCAACGGTAGGGGAATCACCGGCTGTTGTATAAGTCGAAACTCTGCCCTTTTACGAAGCCTTTTATCTTTTAAATGTAAATTAGTTATCATAAGAGATAATCACCGGTATTTGATTTTTATAGCAATACCGATATAAAAGTGTTGTTTTGGTTTATGGCAAGAATCATGATTCATGAATAATATTCCATGGTGAGTTAGAAATTGATATCAAATATTGATTCACTTATCATGTGAACTATGGTAATTTTTTGTGTTATAATTGGTAATCTAAACATAAAATTGTACCGGGAGACTTTTTAAACCATTTTGGAAGGCATGAATAAAAATTAGAAAAAATTGAACCATTATATATGTAAGTGATAAATGTTAGTAGGTGTTTTTGTCATGTGCATATAATAGAATTCGTAGTGGGTCAATGATCCTTAATGATAATTAAATGACTTAGAAATATCTATATTTTAAGCCAGGGACTGAAAATCATTGCTTGAATCTTTTTATTAGTTTGCAATGAAATGTTACTTAGTGATGATCTCATACGCTTATTTGAAGAGACCACAAATATATGTTTCAAAATAAATTGCTAAAGTATATACAATTAGAAGATTTATTATTTTTTAAGAATAATAATAAAATTCTTAACTTACAAAATAAGGCGTAAAATTTACCCGGCCAACAGGCCGGGAACAAAGCTAGTTTACTATGAAGTTCTTTGTGGGCGTTCCGAGCCCGGTCTCTACGAAATTGAATCCCGAAATATGGAGCTTGGTACTGGTCTGATCCGAAGGTCTGCTCGTGCAAGAAGCTCATTGGTATTAAACCGTACTGATAAACCCCAATTGAGTTTTGTGTTAAATACATTATGGTATAAACTATAAAGTTATTTTCTTCTAATCGTGTTGTATTTTTTACGTCATAAATTTGTCTCTGTGTTGAGCAAATTTCAGAAATGCGAAAAGATAGAATCGTTAATGTTTTTCCAACCGATCAACCATAGTTATAGTGACCGAAGTTTGTTATAATTCTGTGACGCGATACCTTGTCGAAATAATAATAATAATTTCACCAATAGATGGCAAGGAAAAGTATGAAACCTATGTGATAGCAGTCCACTTATATGCAAATAAGTTATAACTATCCATTAATTAGGAAGACTCCATATGAATTATGAAAGATAATGACATCTTAACACCGTACTGCCCATCTGATCAAAGACTTCCTTGTTGTTATTGTCCTTCACGAACCTATTATCATTATTGTTTCAAAAAGTTACTTCTCTGCCTAACATTATAATGTACATGTATCATGTATTCTATAAACCTATCATCACATCACTTTTAACCCTTCTTTCCCCTTTCGTTATGTTTGAATAATGCATAGTTTCGTTTTCTGGTTGCTAATGTCTTTATCAAAGAGAACCATCGTTTATATGGGACCGTAAGTATTTGACTTCCATTCCATGGCACCCTTCTCGACTTAACCTTCGTACTTTATTATGGGTGATTGGTTGGTTGGGTGCATGGATGTTAGTTAATGTAAAACTATGTATCTTCTAGGCGAGATTGATGAGCACTTCTACTATGCTATATAGTATTGGTGCTTTAATGTACAACTTAAAGTTGTACCATAACATTAAATGTATAAGTTTAGGTTGTACCATAAAGCAATTTGTACCATTATGTTATGGTACAATTTTACAACTTGAAGTTGTACCATCACATAAAGGTACAAGTTCAAGTTGTACCATAAAAGAATTTGTACAAAAAGTATAGGTACAATCTGAAGTTGTACCATAACGTAAATGTACAATTTTAAGTTGTACCATAAAGACAAAACCCTATAGCACCAATACTATATAGCATTTGTAAAATTTCTCGAGATTCATTTGTGGATGGAGTTGATAGGGGGAGAATCCTATGGACATTTGGTCGCTTTCGATCATGTACTTCGTAATAATGTTTAGAGGGCAATTTCTTGTCACTAAATAGAGGCTACATATCAATATAGGGACGGTAGTCCCGTCATATGAAAGAAATAAACAATATACATTTCTTGTGAGTATTGAATTATATTAATGCCCTTAGTATTGGAGAAGACCTTGACTTTGGTGTTCCACAAAAAGAATAAAAAGACGAATGACATAAAGTTTGTCGTTCCCGCGAGCTATTATGTTTAATTATTTTTTAGGGGTATATTGAGGGTTTTTCCGAATCTCTCTTATTATTTTTTTCACAATATCTTATTTTCTAATACTTAGTTAAGCTCGAAACTTGTACTAATTTCCCCCAGGTTGCAACTGCAATTGTTGGAAAGAACATACATATTCGATTTCGAACTTCACCCAAGAGCAAAGTTTATGTGCTTTTATATTTATTTTTATATATTATAATTTTATATTCGATACAATAACAGTCCAACCACGTTTAATTTTCTTGCTCGACCACTATCAATACGACATAATCTAATATAGTATTTGTTGATACACCATAGTATATTATCTCTACTAAATCAATATGAGAGATGATGTGATCATTGTGATGTATATTTTGACCTCTTTGTACGTAAAATGACTAATGAAAAGCCATCCATCCATCCTGTAATTTGTTGGCAATCCTTGATACACGTCATCATAAAAGGTTAATTGGTGGGACCCGACCCTGCCTAGTTGTCACAGTGTGAGTGCATCTCTAACCTTTTGAAGATGTGTCCTCATGACCCCTCTAAAAAGAACGTTAAACATCGATAATTCGATATGATAATATTTTAATAATTGAGCGATGCTGATCTAGGGCACAAGTGGCAATTAAAAATGTGACACGTGGATTCCAGATGACCCCGCAAAAACTAAACTGTGGAAAGCTTCTCGTCAATCTACTTCATTAGCTTCTCCTCCATAGTCATTGCTCATTAGTAATATGGTTCTGTTTGGATTTCCAATCAATTATGTTGCCATCTTCTAATCGTTTGAAAATGATAAGCACGAAATATAGAATATATGTACAGTTACATATGAACATATATATTCATGTTCAAATAATCCCTTTAGACAAGGAAGTAAAAATACAGGGTTAGAAATGTAAAAAAAAAAAAAAAAAAAAAAACCCATCCATGAAAGAAAATATACCCTAAACTATGGTCCCATTGTTTGCTTAACCAATCAAATCGGAGTCGAACGAAACTCTGGTCGACGGGAGCCAGGAGTTCCCCGTGATGAACTGTCCGACAGTGAACTTCCTTGCATCGGCAGGTGCCAGGGCACCGTGGTACCCGGGCCACCTACACGACCGGAAGTTCCCGCCCCTGGTCCGGAGTTCAGGTACTCCGCGTAGTAAAGGGTCTTGAGCGCGAACCCACCGGACCAGGCGGACCACCCGGCCGGGTTGATGTGTCCCCCCAGCTGGGACTGCATGACCACGGTCCTCGAATACTCCTTCCAGGGCCGGCCCAGGTACGTGGACCCAGACCCCGCGGGGAGATCCGGGGCGGCCTCAACCCGGCAGTTGTGGATCGAGAAGCCCGTGTTCTGGTACTCGCTGGACCGGCCCTGGGCGGTCACGAAGTTGTTCGGGTACGAACCGCCCTTGCGGGCGTACAGGCTGCAGCTCTGGAACACGGCCGCGGCGTTGCCGAAGATGAAGTCGATGGTGCCGTAGACGTCGGTCTCGCGGTAGAACTGGCGCTTGGACAGCGCGTAGAGTGTGTCCTGGTAGCCCTGGATGGAGCACCAGAAGATCACGGACCGTCCGACCCGACCCGGAGCGCCATGGCCTGGTGCTTGGTTGGACCGGCGTCGTTTATGATCGTGATGTCACGGGCCATGAACCCATCTCCCATCGCAGCTGGAAGATGGGGAAAAAAGTAATTGAAAAGATTGACAAAGTGAAGGAAAAGTAAAGCGGTCTTTTTGTAAGGAGCACTTCTACTATGCTATATAGTATTGGTGCTTCAATGTACAACTTGAAGTTGTACCATAACATTAAATGTATAAGTTTAGGTTGTACCATAAAAGAATTTGAATCATTATGTTAAGGTACAACTTTACAACTTGAAGTTGTACCATCACATAAGGTACAAGTTTAAATTGTACCATAAAAGAATTTGTACAAAAAGTATAGGTACAATCTGAAGTTGTTCCATAACATTAAAGGTACAATTTCAAGTTGTACCATAAGGATAAAAACATATAGCACCAATGCTATATAGCATTGTAAAATTCCTCTTTTGTAAGATGTCATTTAATTTTCTGATTAATGGTCTTGCTAATAAGAACAAAATATAAGTCATTTTCTAGGTCATGTATGTACGTATATAAATTTCTTGGATTTACTAGGTTGGGAACCAGAATACACTCTCTAGTGGCAATTTTTTTTGATGGGATAGTGCCAATTATTTTTTTCATTCTATAGTTAAATCTGTTAGCAGGTGTTAATTAATGGGTTAATTATTGTTGGGTTAGAGGTTAATTGTTTGTAGTTATTAGGCCCAATGATGTTGCCCATTTACGTTAGCCCATGTAACCTATGCATGGACACCACGTTGGCTGGAGTTGGTGATCCTAGGGTTCGGCTAGGGTTAGCTTTCCTTTTGTATATGAGCAGCCGAGTGAGGTGTGAGGGAAAACAACAAATACACGATCAATAATATCAGTAGCTAGAAGAGTGTTCAGAGCTCTTCCGTGGATTAGTCCTGGATCATCCAGGGATACCACGTAAATCCGGTGTCAGTTATTTCATTGTCATTTCCGATTGTTCAACATGGTATCAGAGCTTCCGCCACTGAATTCCGATCGTCCCTCTGTCCGTCTGACATCAACAAATTTCGCGTTATGGGAGTTTCAATTCCGAGTGTTCGTGGAAGGTCATGGTTTGCTGGGTATTCTTGACGGGACTGTTCCGCAACCGCGACCAACCCTTCCCGCGTCTGAGATCGAGCAATGGAACCAGCGAGATGCTCGAGTTCGTCACTGGCTGCTCGGATCAGTCGATCCCTCCACTTGTTTAAGTCTTTGACCGTTTGCCACCGCGCATCAGATGATGCAGCGACTGAAAGCTACTTACTCTACCGTGAACGTTGCTCGGCAGTTCGAGCTGCAAACTGCACTGGCGCGCCTTGAGCAAGGCGACTTGTCCATCACCGAGTACTTCAACTCAGCCCAGGAATTGTGGACTGAACATGATATCATTCAGGCCACGATTCGACCTCAAGCTGTCACCACGGATGCCCTGGCCGAGAGACAACAAACTCGGCTGTTCCAGTTCTTGATGAGATTGCGGCCCGAGTATGAAGCTGTGCGCACAACATTGCTTAATCAGGCAGAATTGCAATTTGATGGTATGCTGGGGGTTTTGGTTCGTGAGGAAACGCGGCTACGAACTCAAGCCCAGCTTGATGTGCGACCGGGAGCAGGGGAGTCAGTTTTTTCGGCTTCTCAATCCACCGCCTATGCTGCCGATCGCCTTCAGTTTCAACGTCGCACTCCGATCTCTGAACTAGAGTGTCACCATTGCCACGAACGTGGCCACCTGAAGAAACACTGCCGTGGATGGAACTTTTGCGTTTATTGCAAAAGAACCGGTCATATTGTCTTGGATTGCCGAACTCGGCAGCGCCATGAAGCGCGCGCACAAGGAGGAATTATGGCTGCCTTTTCCCAGCGGCCTGCATCCGCATCAGGAACCTTTTCGGGATCTTCTTCTCGGATTTATGATCGCCAAGCAGCTCCTGCTGTGGACCGTCCGCACCGAGCAGCATATGTGGCCGAAGCGAGCAGCAGTGGTGGCGGTGGTGGTCTGTCCGCCCAAGACATTGAGCACATGGTAAACGCTGCACTCCAAAGGTCACTGCCGACAGCCATAAATGCTGCTTTTGCAACCCTTCATGGTAACTCAGGTAAGCTGTCTCCTTGGATCCTTGATTCCGGTTGTTTCAACCATATGACTCGTGATTCTAGTTGTTTAACGAACGTGCTACCGGTTAATGATCTGTCTTTGCGGGTAGCAAATGGAAATCAGTTACAAGTTAGTGGTATGGGTATGATGCATGATTCTCACCTTGATTTACCACATACTCTTCATGTACCACAACTTGTTCCTAACTTAGTTTCTGTGGGACAACTTACCAAAGCTGGCTGTTCTGTTTTGTTTGCACCATCCGGTTGTGTTATCCAGGACCTGAAGACGGGGAGGCAGATCGGCAGAGGGAGTAAACGGGGGAGGATCTTTCACTTAGAAGAACTTGGAAAATCTTCATCATCATTATCTATCAGTAATCATCGTGATAGGTCTGTCAGTAGTCCTGCATCTTTTCCTACATGTTTTTCGAGTCAGTCTAGTGATGTTTGGGATCTTTGGCACAATCGTTTAGGACACCCTCATTCGAGTCGTTTGGCTGTGATGTTTAGGCAGTCTTTGCTTGGTAAAAATAATGCTTGTACCTCTGCGAAACATTCTTGCACGAGCTGTGTCGAAGCAAAAACCAGTAGTCGGTCATTTCCTTCTAGTACCACTGTGATTGATCAACCATTTCATGTTATTCATACTGATCTGTGGGGACCTTCATCTGTTCTTTCTCGACATGGCTTTCGTTATTTTGCCTTGTTTATTGATCATGCTACTCGTTTCACTTGGGTGTATTTCCTGCGTCAAAAATCAGAACTTCGATCGGTCGCTACTGAATTTCTAAAAATGATACATACTCAATTTGATAGACCAGTGAAAATTGTGCGTTCTGATCCTGGTGGGGAATTTAGTTCCTCTCCATTGTATGAAGTGTATCGTTCTCTAGGCATTCTGACTCAGAAATCTTGTCCCGGTGTTTCTCAACAAAATGGTCTGGTTGAACGCAAAAATCGTCATGTCCTCGATCTTACTCGTGCTCTTCTTCTTGCCTCGAATGTCCCTAGTCGGTTTTGGCCTGAGGCAGTAGCCACTGCGGTTCGTCTTATCAATTATCAAGTTACCCCGGTTTTGAAAAACACCAGTCCTTACTTTGCCTTGTACTCAAAACATCCTGACTACACTAGTCTTCGTGTTTTTGGCTCGCTTTGCTTTGTTCTTCTTCCGCGGCGAGAGCGTACTAAACTGTCTTCTAAAACTGCTAGGTGTGTCTTTCTTGGGTATAGTGATGTGCATAAAGGCTATTTATGTTTTGATCCTCAATCTCAGCGTATGCGCATTGCTACCACCGTTGTTTTCTTTGAACATATCATGTACTACACCGATGCTTCTTCCTCGCCTAGTTTTCTGCCGTCTACTTTATCCTTACCTGGTTTCAGTCATGATGATATTGATGGTGTTGATTTCTTTCCACCGACTCCCCCCGACACTCCTGACTCCAATTTGTCTTCCCCGGGCGGCTCTTCGTCTAGTTCTACATCATCACCGCCGCCCCATCTCACGTCCAGCTCTACTGCTTCTGCGTCTCCATCTTCGCCGGTCTCTGCTTCTCCATCCAGTTCATCCTCTGCAGCGCCAACTACATCTCATGGCTTGTCTACATCACCAGCTCCTTTACCTCGTCATTCCACCCGTTCCACAAGAGGTATTCCCCCACCTAAATTTAACGACTATGTTGCTCATGGGGTGGATGCTTTCCTTGTCCCAACTCGCTACAAGCAAGCTCAAGGAGATCCGGTTTGGGATTATGCGATGAAGAAAGAGTTGGATGCCTTACATGCCAACAATACCTGGACCTTAGTTCCGCGACCTCCTCCTTCTACCTCTGTTGTTGGCTGCCGTTGGGTGTACACAATTAAAATGAATCCTGATGGTACGATTGAGCGCCATAAGGCTCGCTTGGTTGCTCAGGGGTTTACACAGGAAATAGGGATTGACTACAGTGAAACATTTGCCCCGGTGGCCAAGATGTCTACTGTTCGCACTTTATTGGCTGTTGCTTCTCTGCAGAATTGGCCTCTGTATCAGTTGGACGTGAAGAATGCCTTCCTTCATGGTGATTTAGATGAGGTCATCTATATGGAGCGTCCTCCTGGGTATACTCTTGGTACTGCTGATCAGGTTTGCCGCCTTAATCGGTCTTTATATGGTCTTAAACAGGCACCTCGTGCCTGGTTCGAGAAATTTCAGGCTACTATCACTGCACTTGGTTATCAGCAGAGTTTGAATGATCCATCCCTTTTCACCAAGAAAACCTCGTCCGGTCTGGTTGCTTTGCTGCTTTATGTTGATGATATGGTTATCACTGGGTCCGATCCTGCCGGTATTCAGAGTTTGAAGGATGGTCTTAGTGCGGCATTTAATCTTAAAGACCTCGGTGATCTGTCTTATTTCCTTGGTCTTGAGGTTACTCGTAATGCCAAGGGGCTTCTCTTGAGTCAGCGGAAATATATATCCGATCTGCTGTCTGATCATCAGTTTCATGACTGCAAGCCTGTTTCTACACCGATGGAACCTAATCTTCATCTCAGTCGTTCTTCTGGTTCTCCTCTTCCGGATGCCACTGCTTATCGGAGTATTGTTGGGAGTCTGATATATCTTGCTGCGACTCGCCCCGACCTTTCTTATCCTGTGCAAGTTGTCAGTCAATTCATGGCATCTCCCTGCACTGATCATTTAGCAGCCGTTCATCGTATCCTTCGATATCTTCAGGGCACTCGAGATGTCGGCATGTTTTTTCCTTCCTCCGGTGCATTGGCCCTTCGTGCGTACTCCGACTCCGACTTTGCGGGCTGTGTCGATACTCGACGATCTACTACTGGCTGGGCTGTACAATTTGGTTCTGCTTTTATCTCCTGGCGATGTAAGAAGCAAGACAAGGTATCTAAGTCATCCACCGAGGCGGAATACAGGGCCATGTCTGATGTCGCTTCTGAACTTGTTTGGTTACGTCGTCTCCTCGGTGATCTAGGAGTACTCTGTTCTCTTCCTATGGATCTGTTTGTGGATAACACCAGCGCTATCCGGATTGCCGTCAATCCTGTTCTACATGATCGCACCAAGCACATCGAAATTCATGTTCACTACATACGCGATCTTGTTGGGGATGGTACCATTACTCTTCACTATGTCCGCACGGAAGATCAGATTGCTGATGTTTTCACAAAGGCATTCTCCACCAGTCGTCATTGGTATCTCTCGAGCAAATTGATGCTTTGTGACCAGCATCAATTTGGGGAGGCTGTTAGCAGGTGTTAATTAATGGGTTAATTATTGTTGGGTTAGAGGTTAATTGTTTGTAGTTATTAGGCCCAATGATGTTGCCCATTTACGTTAGCCCATGTAACCTATGCATGGACACCACGTTGGCTGGAGTTGGTGATCCTAGGGTTCGGCTAGGGTTAGCTTTCCTTTTGTATATGAGCAGCCGAGTGAGGTGTGAGGGAAAACAACAAATACACGATCAATAATATCAGTAGCTAGAAGAGTGTTCAGAGCTCTTCCGTGGATTAGTCCTGGATCATCCAGGGATACCACGTAAATCCGGTGTCAGTTATTTCATTGTCATTTCCGATTGTTCAACAAAATCATATTTTATTTTTCCCGTCTGAATATTGATAATATCACATGCACTAATTTTGCCCAAGTATTGAACGTATTTTTTCAATCAACATGCAACTCTAAATTCTTACAACTTACATGCATATACGTATCGTAATTCGTACATGCACGTAGTTTCTTTTTTATTTAAGAGAATTTACATCCACATGAGAATCTAGTACTTACGAATTACAATGATTTGTTATGTTCTACGTAATTTGAAATTAACAACTATTTCTATCAACGAAATCACACATATATAGATGGACCCATGCATATACATCATATAATTAGCTAGCCAGACTCTTCATTGTGGATGAATTATTGATGTTATTTATTTAATTAAGAAAAATACGTTCCGATTTCAATCAACTTAATATCAATCTAATCTCAATTCTGCATCGCATAGTTTGTAGATAATGATGAATCAAATTAATTAAACGTTGACAATAAAGAAGAAAAAATAAACGTGAATATCAAAATTCAAATTATATATCGTGTCTCTTTAAGAGTCTTACCAACGGTGGCGGTTTGGTAAGTGGTCGACCCATCGTCGGCGTTCTTGCTCCCCACAATGACGGTCTTGCCCTTCCCGTCCCCCATCAACACCACGTTCTTCTGCTTCGTCGGAATGTTCAACGTCTCCTTATAAGTACCGGCCTTGATGTAAATCACCGAACTACCCCCGCCGCCGGACGCCATGGTGGCGCCACCACTCATCGTCACCGCCCTAAGCGCCGCCGCTATGGTTGTGTGGGTCCCACTTCCGTCCTTCACCACCACGGCATGGACCTCCAGCTCGCCCACGGAAGCTTCGAGAAGCTTCCTCTTGGCGGCGGGCAGCCACCCGGGGAAGGACGACGAGGCCGCCGACAACAGCTTCCTGCCGCCGGGGATGTTATTAGAAGGGTATTTACGGTATTTAGGGCTCATGACGTGACGTGGACTGTTGTTAGTACGGATGTGGTTCACGTATAATGCTAGCGAAGCTTCCACGGTGGCGGTCATGTTTCGAGCCAACGACTGGAGGAGCATGGCTTTCATCGGTTCGTGGTGGCGGTGGGGATTTTTCAACGGCGGGGTTTGGAGGCTCTCTTTGCACGTCTCTTGGTTGGTGAGGGCGGCGCTGAGCCACGTCTGGACGTCGTCGTGGGTGTGGGCCCGCGGGTTGTGACGACGGTGGGCCACGTTGGACAGCTGGTCCAACGTGTCGTCCAGCAGGTCCATGCAGTCCCCCACGGGTCCCGTGGTGGTCGAGGTGATTTCAGGGTCGTCCTCAGTGGAGTTCTGCAGGGACGACGTGGAGGCGGTGACCAGCTGGGAGGCCATGGTTCTGGTGGACTGAGCCAGCTGAGTCAGGATGGACTGGATCGTGTCGTCGAACAGTTTCTCAGGGTTCGCGACCGATGGCGATGACTGGGATGGCGAGGATCTAAATGACTTGGAGAAGTGGAGTGGGGAGGAGGTTGGGTTTGATGATGATGAAGAGGTTGTGGCTAGGATGAGGAGTATGATGAGAATAGTGGTGGTGGTTGCATGGGAGTAAAAGGTCGACATACTTTTCTCCATTGGTTGAATAATGTTGAAAGAAAGCTTAAGGAGAGGAAATAGATCGTTTTGAGTGTGCATGAAACGGTAGTGGGCTTGGTGGCTATTTATAGAAGTGCCATGCGCTTGCATTTTTGAATTGGAATATACTCCACGGCATGGATGACGTACTGACGTGTACATATATGAGTACGTATCACGGTCTAGCTATCATCTCTATTAAAGAACACACTAGTGTTTGTTTAAACCGATAACCAGCCGGTTATCCACTAACCGGTAACCGAAGTAACCAAACTTCGGTCGGTTATCGGAGGCTAGACGAAATGGTTTTTGGTCTTAAAAGTGGGTCGGTTTACCGATAATCGAGATAACCGAAAAACCAAAGCCTATTTCGGGCGATTTTCGATAGGGGGAATGGTTATTTCGATTAACCGATAACCGGCCGATCGGTTATCGGTTATAACCGAAATAACCGAAATGCCACGCCTAGGTTTCAGTAACGTCTTGTGAGATGATAGCCATGTTCTTTTAATTGTTGCGTTTTTTGTTTTGTGTTGCATATAATATTAATAAAATAGACTACAATCATCTACTATATCAATTAATAGACTTAAACCTAATAAAAAGAATAGAACGTGCAAACACATAATTTCATTAATACATATGCCAGCACGAACTATATGCTCTGTATATTGCGTTACTAAAACCACTCGTGTCATATTCAAAAGTCTACGCCTAAAGTAGTGTCTCACGTAAGAACCGATTCTTCTGTATCAAAGTTTCAAAAAAGCACCTCTAGATTAATAGGGGTTTTGGTTTGCAAATTGCTATTTTCGTGATGAGCAACTTGTCATCAACAAATGGAAGAACTTAATGAGAAATAGAAACTATTACTATTACGCGTCAACTTCATCTTCTATGAGATGACGACGGGATTCTCTCTTACAGATCCCTGTACTTTGAAGGGTTCAGGTAAGTCTTATCAGGGGCGGACCCAGGGTGGTTTAAGGGTGTCCCCGGACACCTCTAAATTTTGGGAAAACGATTATCCAACCCCGGTGGTAATTTACGTATGGACAAAAAAATATAATTGATAGTGAGGGACACCCCTTAAATTTGAAAAAATGATTATCCTACTATCATTTGTGTATAGGAATATAAGTGGTAGGTTGGATAATTCAAATCTAGAACACTATTATTATTAATAAACTTAATTTTCGTTGAGCTAAACTCATTTGTTGTTCGATTTTGAACAATGTGTAATAGTAAAATGGCATTCCCTATCTCTAATTATTTTAAAAACCTAACAATTAAACTAATTTCAAACTATCCTTAATTTGTATTGATTTTATGATTGTACGACAAGTGTTGAAAGAGTCTTTCAGCTTTGGGTTACATCAAGAACAAATTTACAAATCGAATATGCGATAAGTTCGTGAATGATTGTCTAGTAGTGTATAAAGAGACAATTTTTTTAACACTATAGACACCAAGTGTATTCTACAATTATTTTCGAATATGAAAACACATCATGGAATTTTTTAACCTGTACGAGTAAGGTATTTTCATATTTACAATTTTATTTTTATTAATTATTTTTATTTTTATTTAATTTATTTTTTAAAAGAGGACACCCCTATGAAAAATTTCTGGGTCCGCCACTGAGTCTTATCTTGTGTTTCAGACAACTGGTTGACATTAGAGATATCGAAATTCAAACACGAGGCATATATGTCGATATTGATCGAAAAGCTCTATGAGCATATCACATACACGATTCCGATTTTACAACGTCGATAAAATGAGCGGAGGGGGCGCATGAGTCCCGTCGTTTACACACAGCTTCGCCACGGAATATTCGAAAGCAGCAGGCTATTCAGATTCCTAAACCTGTCAGTTGTGTGTATTCATGGAGAAAAAAAGGCGAACATTTTTGTTATGGATAAGAGAAATAATTTGATATTAAGTATATCATTATGTGTGTGTTTTCATGTCCCAATCACCATTAATTAGCTTTGCTAGCTAGCTTCAAAACCGTACTTAATTATGTGAGGATGATGATCTCCTAGCTATAAACAACAGCCACGAGATTAGCTCTAGCTTAGTTAGCTAGTGGCCGACGACCCTTGATCGATCATTATCATCAACTACTGATCATTATCATCGTATATACATATATATTTTTTTGTCTAGAGTATTTATGACAAAAAAAAAGTTAGTTAAATACCATGCTAATCAGCTGCTGGATTACACATCACGATTCATTAATCAATTCCATAGAAATTTTTGGTCACGTAATCAATTATTAGTTGGGAGGATATTCATGTAAATTGCATGCATGCGGTTGATTAGTACAAGTGATTAGAAGTACTAACCGACTAATGTCGAGCCACAAAAATTAGAGGCTGCCCTATAATCATCCATTAACTGTACTTTTTGGAAGAAGGAGAATTGTGTGTGTGTATCGAAGTCAAGTTTCTGTGGGCCGGGCTTTCCGTTATCCATCAAACTTATATTGATGATGGGTCTTATAATTGTGGGGCTTTGTCTACTGCCAAGTTTTTGTGGTCAGCAATTAGTCGTCCTCCTTTATGGTACTGGTACATAGTCGTTTTTGGATCCTAGCTAAGTGTGTCACCTCTTCCATGGCTCTCTAGTATACTGATTACTGGGAATGGCAATGGGTAGGTCGGAGCGCGGGTATCGTGACATTAATATTCGAACTATGGAATGTTCAGTTCGGAATAGGATAATTTATTATGGAGTGTGGGAAGGAGGAGGTCATGATGACGGTTTATCGAATATCAAAGGAAGAGAAAAGATCTACGCCTAGCTAGTCCTCGGTTATCAAAGGCAAGATTTCAAGCCCCTGCTATCTTTGGAGACTCCTGAAAAGATCATTAACATCATCCTGCTGGAAAAGCTTTGGTCGTCTAATCGGGAATTAGGGGTGTCCATTCGTGTTTGGTTTTTTTGGTTTTAACCAAAACCGAACCAATTAGATATATTGTTGGTTTTCGGGTTCGTGTTTGTTTCGGGTTTCAGGTTTTTTGGTTTCGGGTTCGGCTTTGCTTATCGGTTTTTCAAGTTTCGGCTGAAAACCTTCAAGGAATAGCACTTGGCCCGTATTCTTAGGGTTTTTTGAATTTTGCTTTAACCGAACCCGACAAGGATTTTGCGGATTTGGGTTAAACAAAAACCGAAAGTCCTCATCAATTTTGAGTTCGTTTTCAATTATTTCGAGTTTGAGTTTTCATCGGGTTTTGGTTCGGATAACCGAACTGACACTCCTAATCGGAATAGTTTATCAAGGTAAGAATCATCATGAAACGAAAGCAGACCGATAGTAGAGAGAAGGATATTGTCTTGACTCATTCTAATAGGATAGTTTTCCTATCCCATCACTTGCTTCACTTCACTGTTTAACTTTGAAGGTCGAGTTAATCTGCAGGCACAGGCTTCAAACTGCAAGAGCAAGTCCTTTGCAGCATATCCGAGCTCTTATTCATTCACATCCATGAACAAACCAGAAATATAACCATGGATCAAAGTCAAACCCCAACCCCCTCAGACAATTGTTCTCCTGTTTCATTTCACAACATGCTTACATCTTGGAATAACTCGTACCAAGAGAATGCTTTCCCATTGATCTAGCCACTCAAGCTTAAAAAAGAACAAAAACTTGAAAGCCCGAGAAAAGCAAACCAAGAGGACAACCAAATGTAATGTTAAACAAACCCAACTGCTGACAATTCAAAGATTTCCATAATCCAACCACCAACAAACACAAATGTCATCTCCACCATCCTGATTAGAGGAACAAACATAACCACCAACAAACACAAATGTCATCTCCACCATCCTGATTAGAGGAGCAAACATAAGCACCAAATCCAGAAAGTGCGACAAAACAAAAAAACGACTATATATTTTTGCCTCCATTTCAGCAAGCCAGCATCCCACAAGTAGCGGTTGCATCACCGTCACCTGGTGAAACAATAACAGCAGCAGCAACAACAACAAAGAACGGATCAGGAAACTTGTCGAAGAGGGATCGATCTTATATAGGTAGTTACAGTCGGTAAATCTACATAACTTACAGCAGTTACACATAAACATTATTTCTCGAATGTAAATTATGTACTTCATATGTAAATCACAAATAGAGGTATATATCCAGATTATATGTTATGATTGAACCACATAATGGCCCTTAGAAGGGTAAGCATGATGATCAGTAGAAGTGTACACAACACAATCGAATCCTTCGGCGCGAGCGTGAGGGGAGTAGATAGACCTCTTTACTTCATTAAAGTTTGTGCAAAGTGTGCAAAACATGGTGTCTATGGCGGGAGTAGAATTTCCTCATTCAAGCATTCAACGCATTAAAAAAAGCTTACAACTTTCAGAAACTCAGTGTAAGCTTTCAGAAACTCAGCAAGTTGTACAGTGCTGCAGCAACTTGTTCCCTTCATTCTACCGGTTGGCTAAAAAATGCATGGTATCAAAGCCTTCAGCCGCGAGAGGTTATGTTCAACAACAATCCAACTAAGGTTCAATAAAATTCAACATACTCGATCGAAATCATCACTCATCACATCACATCACATGTTATTGGGAATGGGAAGTGGCTAAGTAGTACTTACAGATCATCATTGGATCAAATGGTGCGCTGATCAGAAAAGCTCAGGGGCTCTTTACAAAGGGGGAAGGTCATGAGGGATCTCTTTGGAAGGCAGGTCGAGCATTTCCTTCAACGGCTCCATAAACTCTGTCACGGACATAGACCTTTCGGCTCGTGACAACTCCCGCTGGGGCTCGATCTCTTTGATCAAGGCATCGCTCAGTTTAAGCATTGTCTGGACGATCCTGACCTTTCCGTCTTCAAAGGCAAACAATTCCCCTTTGTATGACTCCTCCAAGCCTTTCTGTGAGCTATTTTCCCCTGCTGCAGCGTTTTCCTTGATGGACATCAGTATACTCTTCATGTTCTTGAAGTGGGTGATCAAAGAGGCCGTGTCCTTGACAAGCCGGTCCTCTGGCTCCGCCTCCTCTGCCTCCAGCTTCGGCATCTCTTCAATTCCTCTTCTCGCAAGGTCGGTCAACACGGGTTGCCGGTCATCTGCATTCACAATTACGCAAAATCAACTCCGAAATACGAGGAGAATCAGGGGAAGGGTTAATTTAGGGTATCGTATTACCGGTCCCCAGGAGGAATTCGCACGAGGCCTTCGGTAGGTCTAGCTCCAGATCATCGGGCATCAATTCAATCATACTCCTCGCAACGCTGGTGCAGTTGATTAACCCTGTGAAGATAAACCTTTTGTAGCCTTCGAAGGATTCTATGTCGACATTGATGTCCCTTGCAACCATAGCGATACACATCTGCAACTCGCACAACTTCGATGCGGAGCCGATGCCTGCTTCCAGATTCATGACGCTGGTACGGTAAGTAGAAAGCGAGTTCACCCTGGTGGAAATCCTCTTCCTCTCACCGATCAGACCTTCCACGGCAGTCTGTAGAAGCTCAGCCATTGTTGTAGCGACGGGGTTGGGGGAATAGGGTTTGTGGTGGGAGGGAGGAATGGGAGGAGAAGAAGCGAACAAAGATAATAGGGTTTGTGGACTGGACTTAAGGATGGCAATAGGTCGGGTTGGGCGGGTTTTGTCAAACCCAAATCCATTGGTTTATCTGCCAAAAAAACCAGGGGTAAAACCTGTTGGGTTTGAAAAACTCAAACCTAACCCAACCCGTTGGGTATCCGCGGGTTCATGGGTACCCGTGAGTTTTTCTAGTAAAAAGTTTCTTTCAAAATAAAAGTTTAACTTCAATTTTTTCATACAAATTAATCATACAAAAAACACCAATCTAGAGCATACAAATTATACATGTCGCCACAAACATAAAGAATATTAGTTGTTTAAGGAAGATATATTATTTAGAATATTAAATATACCGGGAAAGTGATTATATGTGTGTGGGCGGGTACCCATGGGGGGGTTTACCTAAACCCAAACCCAACCCGACCCGGTGAATAGTGTAGCGGTTTTAAACCCGAACCCGGCCCAAAACCCGTCAACACGGGTTTTACCCGCGTTGACCGGGTTGGGTCGGGTGGGTACCCGTGGGTTCGGGTTTCGTTGCCATCCGTCCGGACTGGACGGATAAGTTTAACAAGTTTCTTTAAGTTCAATTTAGCTATTTTGCTAACAGGCATTTTTGTTAGTAGATACTAACAAAGCCAGATGTGCCTCCACGTCACCAAGGCCCTGGAAAAAAAATTGGACCCGCAGGGCCCACAATTTCAAAAAAACCAAAATTTGTAAAAAACCTACCCATATTTGCTGGATCGAGCAGCCCAACCATTCATTCGAAATTTTCCCTCTCTCTCTAAAAAGAGTCTGCCCTCTCCCTCTCTCTCCCTCTCCCTTTCCTCTCTCGATCGTGTATGACGACGTCGCCGACGACTGCGACGGTGGTGCGAGGGATCGACGGCGACGGTGGCGCGAGGAATCGACGGCGACTTTGACGGTTGTGGCGAGGACGACGGTCAGTGATGTTGCGACGGCGGTTTTGACAGCATCGCGACGGTGACGGCAGCGAGACAAGAGTGAACGATAAGGTATGTTTTCCCCTTGCTTCATTCGTACTTAAGATTGTTTTATTTCATAGATTCGTTTTTAGGTTTTGGCATGAATTGTATTTAGGGTTTAATGGATTGGGGGTTTTGGCTGGCTTGGCTTGTTAATGGTTGGTTGGGGTTTGTGTGATGGATACGAGTGTTGACGGGTTTGGATATTTCTGTGGATTGCCTAGATATCAGTTGTGGATTGCCTGGATATCTGTTTGGTATATCTGAATATTTGTTGTGAGTTGCCTGAATATCAATTGCCTGGATAGTTGTTTGACGAATTTGGATATTTTACTGTACAGGGAAATCACAACAATTTGGATATCTGTCTTTTTGTAGACTAATATCCTTAAAGAACAAACAAATACCTTCTTTATTTAAACAAATATCAACAAATCACAGACAAATATCCGAAAGACCCAGACAGATATCCGAAAGACCTAACAAATATTCGAAAGACCCAGACTAATATCAATAGAGCCCAAACTAATGTTAATGATTCGTTGGGGTTTGTCTGGATGCCTGGGATTCGTTTTCATGGTTGTGCGATGGATACGAGTGTTGACGGGTTTGGGTATTGCCATGGTGTGCATGTTTACTATTTTGGGTAACCTAGTTTTATTTTTTGCTTATTTGACTGCATCTGGATTGCTATTGTTCTGGGTTTTTTGTATCTGGGATTCGATATTAATTCTTTTGCAGCAGGATATTTGTTTTCATTTGCCTGGATATCTGTTTGGTATATCTAGATATCAGTTGTGAATTGGCTGGATATATGTTTGCTATATCTGGATATCAGTTGTGAATTGCCTGGATAGTTGTTTGACGAATTTGGATATTCTACTGTACAGGGAAACCACAACAATGACAAGAACTAAAGTTGTTGCAACAATGAGGCCCAGAACAGAAGCTGAAACCTCGAGGTCTAAACGTGCTAAACAACAACAGCAAGAGGAGGAAGAAGAATATGATTTTGGGGATGCGGAAATTGAGCATGAAGAATATGATTTTATGGGACTATAACAACCGGTCCGATGAAATAATTCAAGATGCAAAAGATTGGAATGCGAAGAAAGAAAAAGGGAAAAGGAAGAGAAGTTGATTGTAGACTTGTGTAGTGTAATATTGGTTTGTAAAACTGAACTTAGGGTTGGATAATATTTAGGGATGGATGCTATTTAGGGTTGGATAATATTTAGGGATAGATGATGGTTTGTAGCAGGATGAAGGATATTTTGCCAGATGTTGGATATAATTACTAACATAAGTTCTGATTGAAAAATATATTGTAACCTCCCAGGTAAATATCTGTCGTTTTGTAGACTAATATCCTTAAAGAACAGACAAATACCTTCTTTATTTAAACAAATATCAGCAAATCACAGACAGATATCCGAAAGACCTAAACAAATATCCGAAAGACCCAGACTAATACCAATAGAGCCCATACTAATGTCTTTGTAGACTAATATCCTTAAAGAACAGACAAATACCTTCTTTATTTAAACAAATATCAACAAATCATAGACAAATATCCGAAAGACCCAGACTAATATCAATAGAGCCCAGACTAATGTCCTTATACCCTTCTTTTGTAGACTAATATCCTTGGAGCCCAAACTAATAGTAGATAAAGATGGATAACACTTTGAATCAGAAATGGAAACAAACTCAACACAATACAAATTGATGACAGGAAATACTAATTCATTTCTTCACGGTCTCCTCGGTGTTATCTTCATCATACGACTCTGAAAAAGCGGGGAACATTACTTCGTCCCAATCCATGTGAAAACCACACCCGTTATCATTGTCGTACTCGTACATCCAACATCAGAAATACTTCTTCGGTGGGTTGACTCCATCAACAACAAGTCGTTTAGCAGCTCTCTAACCATGGTAACAGAGTATAACACCATCATATTCGAACTCATCCACCAATCCCCGACGCGATTCTATTATTGTTTCATGGGCCTTCGGCCCCTGGGCCCTCGGCGGGCAGCCCTAACTAAGGTTGCAATCCTTATGTGTTAGGACTTGCGAGTGTGCCAACACATGTCAACAGATATCTGTAAAGCGCAGAATAGTATCCCTTAATGACGGATGATAGGGCAAAAGCGTATAGCTTCAATTCCTATCTTGTAGTAAACCGGAAAGTCCGGATATCGTCTCTCAGGGACTGGTACAACCTTAAGATTTACCAATTTTATAGAGCAAACTATAGGTGAAAATGGTTTAATGAGACTAATTATCTAAAAGCAAAATAAACTAATTAAGCAAAGTAAAATGGTCGAGGGAAATTCAATGGGAGAAAGCTCTGGGAGAAACACCGGAATTCACTACCTATCCTATCCAGATTAATTCACATATTCCAATCAATTTAATCCAACTCTCTACAGCCAGGATATCACGAATGTGCTAGCTATCCCTGTCGGGAATTACTACGTGCTAAGCAATTAATTCAAATCCTACTGTCGTAGCTCAATGAGTTAATTATTTAGTCTGATGACCGATATCCTATTTAAGACCACATAGCACCTTATTTAATTCACTGTCGCTTCGATAAGTTACTATGTCACATGAAATATGTTCAGTTATTAGGGTTTCACTGTCGCTAATAACCTAATTAACTACAAATCGTTGTATTGGTGGTCAGTCAACACAAAGCATTAAGAAATTTCATGCAATAGATATTGGAAGAAAAGAGATATGAATCAATCCATCAAATCTAGAAATAGCTACATTCTATGGTGTTTTCCCCAGATATCGGGGTTTATTTCATGACGAAATTAAGATAAATCAATAGGGTTTTGTTCATCATGTTCCAAATCAACAATACACAACTAGTTCGATTCAGAGAATCCAACCAACTAATCGCTCTCGTTGAACTCAGCTCAAACATTAGAGAACTCGATCGCCGATTTATGAATCGCCTGATCGCCAAAGCTGCGCTGCGCCCTTCGCTTTTCGCCCAAGAATTCTGCCGCCAAAGAGATGTCCGCTCCAGCCTCCTTTCTTTTCCCCTCGCTGCCTTTTCCAAGAAGAATTAAGAATTTCCCTTCCTTTGTTCCCTTCAACATTAGAAAAACCATAAGGTTACCATGTCTCCCGCCCTGTGTGGATGCTTTGCAAAGATGCCAAATCCGTGAATTGCTGATTTGCCTAGAATAGAAGTATTGGCAACCATCAGACACAAAAATGTAAAATATCACCTTTGTCTCAATGTGAAAGCTCATCAACAGAGGAAACAAAGTCAGCTAGTATAGATATACGTAAGACAACCGCTAGTAAAAGTCAGCATGTAAGTTCAAAGGACGTACCAAATGCCAGTCTCTTTCGAAAGGTCTGCCTCATGTTATTATATTTCTCAGCCATAGAAAGAATATTGTTTGGAACAGAAAGGTGAGAGGCTCTTAGCCTTTGTAGGGTAGAAGAGAATCGAGTGCCAGCACCACCACTTGAAGAAAGTGGAACCCCTGATGACTCATTTGGGCAATAACCTCCAACAAGGTAAGGCTGGTTCTCCACAAACAGACGCTTCAAGGATACAGCAGCAAGGGCATCAGGTTCCTTGCGTCCTCTTCGTCCAGAATGATTGTAAGGCTCTTTCAGGGGAGGGAAAACAAAACAAAATAACACTTGTCAGAAGCCTACCAAAACTTGCAACAAGAAACAAGCAAATAATGCGAACTCGACTTGGAATATGGGTTAGGGTTGGTGGGTTTACAGGTTGGTTTATATGGATGCATTGGTTTAATGGCCCGTGGGTTTGGTGGCAATCACATTCTCAGTAGTTTGGAGGTAATTTGGCAATTTTGTCAGGTCAAGGGGCTGTTGGATAGGTTCTTACAAGTTTGCTACTAAATCTAGGTACTAAATGACAATTTTACAGGAACCCAAAAAAAAAAAAAGATACAATTCACGAGAATGTGGAAGAGTGCACAGCAGCCGGATAAATAGCAAGAGTGTAGACAAACACACACCTGTACGAGCGCAGCCAGATTGATTACATGGTGGAACGTAGTCAGAGCAACGACGAGAAACTCGACTAATGCGTTCATCCGCAATTTGCCGGTCGTTAGATGGCTGCTTATGCCTTTTGCAGAAGGAAATTAAACGAATGCATTGGTCTTCTTCATCATCATCCATAGAAAGCAGATATAGTCTTTCCTCATCTTCTAGCTGTGCAATAAAAGAGAGAATTCAAAAGAGCCTCGTTATTTACCAGCAAAATCAACCACAACATACAAATGATTCCTCTTGAGAAAGATCTTCATTGTGGATTTATAATGTCAATGTTTAAAAGCCGTGTAAACAGAAACTCACCTCAACACAAAGGCCAGCAGCACGAGCACAAAGTGGATGATATGATGCGCAGCACTTATGGTTTGAACACTGTAATGAAACATTGATTCAGAGTGAGCCAACTAACAGCTGAGGACTGAGAAAACTAAAGAATAAAAAAGGAACCTGTACACTCAGATATTGGTACACAACCAACTCTGCAATAGAAACTGGAAAGGCCATTTAGATTACAAGCTTACCTGAATACAAGCACCATAAGCTACACCACAGATGCTGCAGTGAAGTTTCCATCGATCCTGTTAAAAAGGCTGGTTAGGGCACGAGCAACATATAGTGCCATGATAAGACAATGTGTTGTTAAAAATCAGCAGATAGCTACCACTTCACAAAGCCGGTAATGTCTGACAGGTATAATAGAACAATAGAACGAGTGATACAGAAAACCAGCAAATTAGCAGCTGAAATATACCTTGTTTATTCTATTTAGACCATCAATGGGCTCCATTCTCTTTACATCTGATAAGCAAGTTTCTGTCCATACAAAGCTATGTCATCATGTCTGATATTAACATAATGCTAAACCACCAAAATGAAGGTTAAAGAATGCAGAGACAGACCAGGTATCCAAATGGCACAAGCAAGATGAGCCCATCGCCCGTCTGTTGTAGGCTTCATAGCACCACCTGGAAGAAAATTTAACTTCCCACAGTTACAGCATAATTATGTTATCGAGGTAGAACATATTAATTGAAAAATCAGGCAGTATCAGACCTATAACAGGACAAGGCAACAAGGGGGTGGGAACTCAGGAGCTCCAGGACGGCACAAATTACATAACCACAGGACACCATCAACAGGTTCTAGTTCCCCATAGCACCTAGCATGGACCTGAAGAAGCAGCAATTGTATGTCAAGATTCAATCTAATAGAAGACAAAAATAGCCCAAAAATAAGACTCCCGAGTAAGCATTTTGACGGGACACTACCAAAATAACTGCACTAAGAGATACTAAATGAAAATAGTAATAGCAATAATTATATGATTCAAGGTGTCTGATAACGGCATCAAGAATGAAAAGCTTACCATCATTCTACATTTATCGCACTGCAGGAAGAGATTGTTTTCATATTCCTGTAACCAAATAGAGAAAAAGGAAGTTTAAATCACGAGATATTGAACCCACACCAAATAGATGAACTGGAGAAAATGAGCAGAATATCATTCATGTCCAGCTCTTCTGCATTTTCATCTTTGATGTGTTGGTGAACTAACTTAGGTTTCATCTCCAGAATTTATCATTATATTCACAGAAATAGGATTCACCTCATCCATATGGCAGACATTGCACTTATCAAGGTCCTTCCAGTCAACTCGAACTGGTCTGTAGCCAGCTGGCAAATCTTGATATCTGTCAGATAGTGACTTGCTTGTTGACATTCCAGATATAAATCTGGATTTCGATATTCCCTGTCCGTATCAAAATAATTGTGTGAGCAACATATACGCTAGCAAGATAGAAGTATAAACTAGACCAGGCCCAAGGCCTCTATCGCTTTCAATATGGGCGGATTGAACTCTTCTGATAGAGAAACTATAGTAAAATCAAGACAGTAAAAGTCGGTCTACGAAATTCAAACATGAAACCTAATTTATTGTGTATGTGTAAAGCCAATTGATAAGGAAATTTTAGTATCTAGTTCTGTGGCATAACAACTACAACGTCAAATGCTACGGAAGATTTTATTTATGGTTCTCAAATCGACAATCAGGACTTGAAGTTAGTCTCTTTTGCTTGTTGAGTTGGATTTAATTTTACTCAATCTTTGAATTGATTAATGTGTTTTCCTGGTCTGTGTCATATTGCTGGTCTTGCTCTATTTAGAGTGTGTTATAACACCTTAATACCCTTGAATCCTGGAAACCCAGCCTTTGGAGGATAATCTCCTTTATTCCTGCTGGACTTAATTCTCGGCGATGTTTTGAGGCAATAGTGTTGGTGGGAATTTTCCAGAGGAATCAAGTGCAACACACTCCGAGTAACTCATGTCCTTAGTTGCAACTTGCGTAAGCACAATCAATAGATTAATTAACTAAAGATAGTCTATTCATAAGAGAGCCCCAAAGGAAAGAAGATGACATTCAGCCCCACCCAAGATGAATATTTGAGGCCGACTCATAAAAAACTAAAGTGAAATGGAAGATCCAGAAAGATGCATACTTTCCAGCACATAGAAGTGAAATGTACAAAGTGGCATACCTTTATGAGTTTGCTGACTTCAGGGTAAGAGAAACCAAACATGTGAGAACCAGACTGGCGGGTCCTTTCTACTTGACATCCACCATTTAAATCACCAGATGTATCTTCCAGTTTCTTAATTCTTTCATAGATTTTATTCCAGCAAGCTGATGGAGTTGATCCTTCAATCTACAAAGGACAATCAAGTCAATTAACATGCATAACAATTGATAGTTATATTACCTCGACAATAATCAGAAATTTCCAGGCTACCATTGGAGGAATAGGTGAAAAGTGCATATTACAAAACCAGAAGCTATAATAACCTTTACTAACAAGAAATAATATACAGTTGTTGACGAAAAGTTATTTCCAGAATGGAAAGCATGGATAGCTAACAATAGTAATTGTATCAATAGAACCCTAATTAGCTACTTAAATGCAGACAGCTGCTGACCTGTATTCTACAGCTCCATGTCAAATGTGCAAAAAGAAGGGTGGGACACTGCCCTTTCTTTCACTGTCAAATGAGTTAACCAGGAGGAATTGAATAATTGGGCAGGATAATGGTTATCTCGGACCAGATCAAGACTTGAAGAACAGTATATATTTCCTCTTTATCGAGAATAAGTTCTAATTAAAAGCGTAAGCCATTTCTTGCCCTAACAGCAACTTCAAAAACTGGATAAGTCAATTGAAGTTATTGGTAGAACAAACAAGTGACACAATATCCACATATAAAACTGGATAAGCCTCTGACAAAACTATCACATACCAAAAATGCAAGTGAAAATGAAAATCAATAGCAGAAGAGGGATGGACCATATTTCCGAAAACTGCTTGAGCATTAATGATGTGCTTACTGCAACTCACCTGCTCTCCATAGTCAAGTGTCACTCTAAACAGGGGCCTAATCTTTGACTCGGAATCTCTCAGCACTTCCATCTTATAAACGGTACACGCACCTGGGTCTACAACCAAGAAAATATTGAAGTAGCCAAAAATTATTCCATCTGATGCTAAGCTATAATAGTGAAATTAGCGGTATGACGGATTAAACAAGCACAGAAGTTGACCTGATACCGAACTGAACTTCCGCAAGGCAGTATATCCCTCAGGCCAGATGGATTTTTCATCCTGGAAATATTCTGAATCCTTCACAATCTTTCCTGGGATAGAGAAAAAGGGTGTATATAAGAAGATGAGCTTCCTTTGATACCCAGCAACCAATCAAAGCCCTAAGAAAGGCTTGCAGTTTGGTTCATCCAAGGAAAGTAGGAGGTTTCAAAGTTAAATGCTCTAAACATGTTCCCCTTTCATGCATGGGTTAGCTACTAAAATCTGGAGCAACTGACAATCAAAAGCGTGATAATATACCACCTTCAGACATTCAAATTTTCTGCATACTCTCAGTGGCAAATTACAAAATTAAAGATGACAAATATGGATCAGCGAAATGTGATTTGGGTTCATGAGATCCGAATAATTACCAAGGTTTACGATTTGCAGATCTCCAATAACATACGGAGAAGTTTGGAGGCCCCTCAATATCCTTTGTATCCCTTCATCTGCGATACAATCGTCACCTGAATCTGCACTCCGTTCATTGTCACTATTTGCATGTCCACAACTATCCGTATTCATGCTATTTCGCAACTGTAACATTCTTGTAGGAAGCTTTTGTTCACTCAAATACCTGTCAAAATAAAATTACAAGCGAATTTTTTAACTCAAAAGTAAATACTGAAGTTGCTGCCACGACATTGGCAAAGTTTCATACAGTTGGTCATTCTATCATTATGCAACTATTAGTATAAGTATATCTGGTGAAATTTAAAGCAACCATAGGTGCTACATATTTATGCCTCTAGAAGTTAATTTCAGAAAGCAACCCAAGTGAATAATGATTATTGTATCCACTCTTTATGTAAATAAGGCAAATCCCCATTGAAGGAGAACAACCATGAAAAGTAAATGTGAACACTACAAGTCAATTCCAGAGGCCTAAAATATGTTCTCGAATTGGGAAAGCTCACGGTACCTTAGGTTCAACCAAAAGGAGTTGCCAATCTACCGAATGTCATTTAAAGTAACCCACATACAAGAATGATGTCAGAATACCACAATCCATTCAAAAAACGGTATGAACAGTGCATATTGGCCTTTGATAAATTACAGTTACTCACACAAACTACTGTCACCATAATGGATCTAGTATACATGTTGAAGTTACACCACTTACATCTTTGCTTCTTCCAAGCTGCGAGCAAAACGGGGTTGCTTGCACTTCAGGTGGAAAGAGGAAAGAAGTCCTTTCAGAAATGAGATAACCTGGTTTGATTTAATTCTGCAGGGCAACCACAAGTAAATGCACATCAGTTCCCCTTCTTTTTTTTTTACCAACAACAAACATGATCCCCGGCAGTCATTTACCTAGCAAAATCATGAGTACCAAAGAATTGCACAGGGACAAATCTGCCTCCCAAATTCGTCTTTGAACCTCTACTGCTGCCAATAACTGATTCTTCAACAACAATAGCTGGCCAGATAGCATGACCTGCACTACAACAATCAAAAGATATAGTCGGTGCAAAACCAGAGATAAAAAGTATAGAAATAAACTGCCTTTGAAAACAAGACATGTCTTTTTCCCCATAAATTGATACTTACTTACCAATGCAAAAAAAAAAAAAAAAACTCCACTGCAATAATAGATAAAGGCTCATAACAACAAATTCATTAACACTAGTTTCTTTCTTATAGACATAAACTAATGCACAAGTAAGAAATGCACTAGACAACCTAATCTGTTGGGCAATAGTTCAGTAATGTTCAAAGTTGCGCAATAGTTTATTAAAAACTATTTTTCTGTACTTCAGTTTCTGTTGTTTTCTCAATCCTCCAAGCAAGAACATTTTTTCATATTGGATAAAGAGACGACAGAAGGAAGAAGATTGAATTCCGAAACCATGAGATCATGGGGAATTTCATTTACGACTTCAAGTATTCTGCCCAGGAATTAAGAACACACCCTGGTTAGTTTCCTTAGATAATTACGAACTTCATTAGAAAAAAGAGGAAGAAGAAATCCTGGTTAGTTAAAAGTAAAAAAAGACAACAACACAAGGATATGCAATGAAACAAATCGTAAATGATGGATGAGATTAATTTAGTGCACACCAGTTAGTTTTGCCCATATGACATCTCCAGGTTCAAGTTCTTGGCAGTCATCCAAACTGGCAGCTAACACAACCATCTCCTCATATTCCTGGCTGCCATCATTGTTGCTTTTTGTACTATAACTCAAGTTCAGTTCTTCCATCTCTTCACGGGAAATAAAAAATTTAACCTTCTCTTTTGAAAGCATTACATTCTCATCATCTCCATCCTCATAGTGTATCTGTAATTATTCATTCCAAACAACAAAAGGACCTCAGCAGCTGCTACATAATGTTCCAGGAGCACAATTAATCGAGCGAAAACATACTAAAAACATACTTGATGCTGATTAGTCCCAGAATTGTATCCAATAATACGACCTGAATACCAGTCAACATCCAAAGGCCAATACACCTGTAGAGAACCATGTTAATTACACAATCAAAGAGGCTGAGGAACTGATATTCTTCAGAACAATTGAAGAATGTGAAACTTGCCTTGCATTGAAGCCCGATGAAAGTTTTTGGTTCAACGCTATCAATGCTCAACCTGTTATATCCAAACATTAGCAGGCAACAAAATGCATTAAGTTCAGCAAGAAATGCAAACTGAGAAGATTGTTTATCCAGTCCACTTTGGTGTAGAGCATTCAATTAATAAATTTCCAACATTTATCATCCTTGGCAGAAGGAAACAAGTACACAATTCTCGTAAGAACGGTAAAAACCAAGTGGAAAGAAAAACACACACCTAACCCATCTTCTAGTACTTGGTGGGATTGACGAAACTTTATCAGAAATCTGCACGAGATCACTCTTTTTCTTCTTCTTTCGCACCTTATTGGTCCCATTCACTAGATGATTCCGGCAGTCCCTCAATCGCGGGCGATCAAACCCTTGCAAAGCATTGGAATCAACCCCCAATCTAACCAACTCACCGCTCCCAATCCTCCTCTTCTTCGCCTTCCTCCCCAAATCATCCTCGACCATATCCCCGAACTCTATGATTTCCTCCTTCACTTTAACTTCCAGGACCGGCCCCTCATCGGTCCTCGCGAACAACGATTCTACAGATGACAGTTTCTTCTCGACAACGCGAGCCTTTTTATACTTGCGAGTATACACATTTATAATAGGAGGCCGATTGGGAACCCGATCTTCCTCGTCGGAGCTAACTTTCCGCGCTTTCACCTTCTTGGACATGACATTCGAGCCCCCGGAGCTGACACACAGCGACGCCGCAGTGTAGACCTGGTCCAGAGACACGTAACGCACTGGTGCGTCGGTCTGGTTATCCAAGTTGATGTCCCCGTCGTCTTCGAGGATCGGCTTAAATACCTTCTCGTCGCTGGGTTCTTCAACTAATGCCATGGACGGAAAATGCATGCTGCGATGAGGGAGATGGAAGAGAGAGAGTTACGAAATTGGCCGGAGCGAGCTTCTGCTCTCTCGCTCAACTTCGAGCAGTCCAATTGCGACTACGTCCGTTCCGGCGATCGGGAATCCCTGGAATCGGGGTGAATTGTGGGGGAGTATAGGATGCAGAAAGGGAGCAAGAGAGGATTAGGGTTTAAGGTGGGTGTAGAAAAGTGAGGAAGAAAAGGGGAACTTGGACAAATTGGATCGTTTTTGGAGGGAGGGATTTTTCCCCAAATTATCAGTTTCCCGCCGGGTGTACGTGCCAAAACAAACCCCCGGTGCAATAACCAGATTTCTAAGCAAAATTTATCATTTTATCGATAATTCAATTATTGATCGACTATCATGCTCGACTACTTAGTTTTTTTTTAACTTTCTCTATATATAACGCAATTTATGAGGGTGAAATCGGACTGGCCTAAGTTCAGGTCCTTAAATCCTCTTTATTAAGGAGGATCTTAAAGAGTTGTGATTGGCTGATTCAATTTTAGATAGTTATTGGGGAGTTATTAGTTATATAGTTGTTAGGGTTATTAAGGGAATTACAATAAATCAAAAACCGTAACCCTACTGGTATATATACCCTAGCCGAACTTTTATCTCCACAAATTCATCATTGTCTCTCGTTTCCGTCATGCAAGTTTCTCCGGCCCGACGTTTGACATCGTCGTTGAAAGACAGTCGCTTGCCGACGTAGGTTGGTCTTCCGGCATCGCACTCTCGTTCCCGCCATCGTGAAGCAACGCCCGTCCCCTTCGCTCAACAGCTGCCACCTACGTTCATCACTCCTCAGCTTCCGTCGCCGGAGCGATGCGTCTCGCAATATCGACTTCCTGTGTCACTAGCATTGAAGTCGTTCCCGTCCGGTGTCTGTTCAGTCCCCCGCCATTGCTCCCTACGCTCCCCTTGGCGACGTTCAAGGTAATCTCCATGACCATATTTTATCAACAAGTTTAACCAGCGTCGTAGCTATTAGTAACATTTCTTTACCTTTTATTAACGTTACTGATTATTAACGTTTCAACACAACCTTATTAATGTTTCTTCTGCAGTTATTAACGTTTCACTGATACATTATTAATATATGTAACACGACGTTATTAGTAACGTGCTCGTCATTAACGTTTCTTTACCAATTGTTAATATTTAACACATGCACTATCAACAAGTCCAAATTGATCCTTTTTCTGGCGCTATTTCCATGAAATTGCATTTTCCATTTTGATGATTATGATCCTTTGTTATGGCTGCTTCTTTCTAATATTAGCATAGTGGAAATTGTTTCTTGGTAGTCGAAATTGATTCACTGATAAAGTTTATTAGAAATTTAGGTTGCACTGATTTATTATTTTTTTAGGGCGATAGTCAATTTTTTTTTTATAATAATTTTAGCTTATATTTGTACCTTTCTCATCGCGCATTATTAACAAACTTGTATGTTATTGAGCAATTTTTTCTTAAGACCAGTACACAACCATTATAAAAAATTACTACATTATCAACAATGTTAGTTATGTTTGTGACTTTGTGAAATGGCATTATGAATGTTTCATTTTTGTTATTAACATTTTATAGTTGTATTGCTCTTTGTTCAATCTTGGGTTATCAATATATTTATATGCAATTTGTAAATTTAGAAAGTGTTCCACCCATTATTGATATTTTCAATTTATGTTCATCATTAACGTTTCTTCACCCATTATTAATATTTTGAACGTGATTATCAACATTTTTAATTGTGTTCTACTAGTAATCTGCCGGTTGAATTAACGTGTACTATTATCAATTTGTGTTCATTATCAACTGTTTCTTCACCCATTATTAATATTTTCAATGTCATTGGCAACATTTTTAATCGTGTGCTATTATTAATTTATCGGCTTGATTAACATGGACTATTATCAATCTATGTTCATTATTAACAGTTTTTTTACCCATTGTTAATATTATTCACTGCACCATCAACAATTTTACTGTGCTTCAGGAGGAGAGATTGGAGACGCCGAGGTCAACCCTGAAGGATTTGTTGCTGATGAGTGATGAGTCATTGGTTCATATTACTCTCATTATCAATTGCAATGTCCACGACTGGTACAGAGTAACAGAGCTATCATCATTCAGAGACTCATGTACCCAATTTCTACTTTGAACTATGAAGACTCAAAATACAAAAGATCAAGACACATGAATTTTTTTTTTCTTTCCATATATGCAAAACAAACAACTCAACATCCATCCCCACAATATCCACTGCAATTTTACCTTGACTTCCCGCCAAGTTGTTACCAACATTTTGCCCCTTGAAGTTTTCATCTCAAGGTATTTCATTCAAATGTGCAGTGTTGAGTATATATCAATATCAATAACGTTATTAACAGTTTATAACATCATCAAACAATATTATTAATCATTATTAACCTACCACTGCATCTGAGTCATTAATAAGTAACTAACAAGCTGTGCCAGTATTCATGTGCTTACCCGACCACGAAATTTTATTAATATTTTTATTTGTGTCAATATTCTCAACACCATTATCAACAAATTAACGTTACAATTTTGATAATATTCAACCACGTCGTCAACCAATATTATTAACTGACAATGCTATTATTATTAATAATATTATGGTGATTATTAACCGACAACTATATCACTATGACAAGCAGCGGAATCTTCAATTTGAGGTTTTCTAGTAACGTTATTAACAAATTAACGTTATAATTTTAATAATATTCAACCACATTGTCAACCAATATAATTATATATTATTAACCAACACCGTTGCTATTATTAATTATATTATGATAATTATTAATTGGCAACGCTAGGACAATCAGAGGAGCCTTCAATTTGAGGTTTTTTAGCAACATTATTAACAAATTAATGTTAAAATGTTAATAATATTCAACCACGTCGTCAACATGTATTATAATACATTATTAAACGATCACGCTATTATTATTATTATTATCATCATCATAATATGGTAATTATTAATGACGAGAACCATTGACGGTGGTTGTCGAAGAACTTGATGGTGGTTGGGGGTTCCTCCGCCAACTACGGATGAGGGAGACACAGAGGGACGGAGCGAATCAGATCTTCACCAGCGTAGACGATGGAGACGGCCGGGAAGTTTATTCACCGGCAGATCCGCGGCTATAAGACGGCGACCGTGGTGGAAGAAGGGGCGCCGCGATTTCAAAGGAGACGGTGAGAAGTTTCATCGGCAAATCCGCGGCCAAAAGACGTCGGTTGTGGTTGTCGGCGCTATCCTCATCAGGTGCGGCGTGCGACAATCGATAGAAAAGGACAACGGTGACTAGGCGGTTGATCTTCAACGACGGACGCAAGGAAGGAGAATGTGGGGAAGGAGACCGTGGGAGGAGAAAGGTTTTTTCATTTTTATAAATAATGTAATTAATTGTTAATTATATTCCATTCTTGCCCTTATTGGTAGTTAGCCAATAATTACTAATGATCATCTCTCTCCTCCTCCTATTGGTTGACAAGGGTTTAAGATCCTTCTTAAGAAATGGGGTTTAAGGACCTGATCTAACCCGAATCAGACTTATTGAGTCCAAAGTTATGGAGTTGCATAAATTCTAGTGATGTGTAACAAATTACGCATGTTATAATCAAAACTATCATTCCTCTAATTTGAAGAAGAAGAAAAATGAATTTGTTCGTACAAAAACTTATTCTAATAAGATAAATTCAGGGATGAATCCTATAGGTTCACATACATTCGTTATATATTCGTAGTGATTTGATAATTGAGGACTATTGAGATAAAATCGAGCTTGTAAAAAGGTATCCATGTATATGAGTATACCACTTAATAACCACTTTTCACCTAGTTTTTTTTTTAAGTAATGACACAAGAAATAAAGGAATCTATATAGCCTACCGAGGAACACTCCCAAAGCACCACCTCAATGAAGTCATCCTACAGAGTCAAAGGAATCGAACTCAAGAGACGAAAGTAACAACGCTTTTAGGAAAATGACGAAAGATTAAATATGTCCGGATATGTTGTGGATGTTCGAGGTGGAGGAAAATAAGACTTGGAATGGAAGGGGTTGCATTGTTGTAATTGTGAAGACTATGATGGGAAGTCGTAGCTATTACTTATATTTGGAGTACTTACCATCAACTTGAAGTCACGGGGTATTATTTATAACCTTTTGTTTTTTTAGATTGAATTAGGATTAGACTATCTGGAGAATGTGTTATATATATCTTATAAATTACTTTGTAATATGTATAACCTGAAGTATAGTAAAACTGGTCTCTCGTGTATATGGATTAGCTAGCACATCTTGTGTGAACCACGTAAATTTGTGTGTTGTAACCTTTCTTGCATTGTCGATTTCCATTCCGTTTGGACAGAGGGGGTGGGAAAAGCGAGAAATTATTAGATGTAAGGGTTTAAAGATGGGTTATAAACTTATAATCATGAATAATTGAAGTTTGCGACGATATACTTCAAGGAGGGTATGAGGCAAACTTCGGTTCGGGGACTACCCAACCATGTACAAGTAAGTCGCACCCTTACAAACACTTTCAAAATATAGTATTTGTAATCGATTCTAAACAGTTTCACTTATATTGACTGACATAACAAGTAGAACAAGTGTTGAATAAGGTTTAGATGCAAGGCATGTGCATGACCATTGCCTATCGTCTAGGTGCTTGAAGCGAAATAACAATTTTTTAACCGTTAATCACATTGATTCAAATGATTAATGACTTGTTTAACCCTTTATAACCAGCAAAATATCTCGGATTTTCATAGAATTAAAAGTTCATTGAAAGTAGAACACACTCAACGATAACATCATTAATCATTTAAATAGGTTAACCCAACCACCATGCCATTTTCATTGTCCTCGAAAGCAATATCTGCCCCATCGTCTTCTCTTCCTCTTGAAACTCGAGTTATTCGTCATGAAAAACTCCCACCATTGCACTCCTATGAATGTCAAATTGTTTAATGGCTCCTATTGTATCCAAAACACTCATGATACACCATGTCATTCATCAATCTAATCCAAAACATGGTTATTTTTGTTTCGTCTTGTTGTTTCTAACGTAACGTGAACAACTAGAGAGAGAGTATAAGATAGATTGAATCTTTATGCTACCGTGTCTTTTTCTCCCCTCATTTTGTGTGAGTTTTAATTTTTATTTACTCAGAATCTGACCATCTTCGCTTTAGTATCGTCTCATTATGCCTAAATATGGGCTTGCACGTCTAGACATGACCTTACACCTTTAAAGAGCTTTGAACACCGTTTTGCACATCTTAGACAGGGGTTTTCAGCCTTGCCTTATGCGTAGGCAAGTGCCTAATATTGCATTCCCAAACAAGAGTAAAATATCTCGAGAGTTCGGGTTTCATTGCCATCCCTGTATTCACGGTATATCATTGCACGCATTTTATTTTTGTACAATTTGATAAAAAGTTCATACAATCGTACCTAGCTTTTATTCTTTAAAAGATCAATATTTTGTTATCATAACATAATTTAACAAAATACCCTCGATCCTTTCGAAATTTTTATATATAAATTCACACCATGATACAATGATACTTAATGTTAAAACCACATCCCCAAAATTGTACTAAAACCATATGACATGTGACGCTCTGTTAGATAAACCAATGTGAGATGAGGCTTGTCAGCACGGTACGGTTTAACTTTTAACAACGCAATTCTAATAGCTCCAAAATAATACGACAGCGTTGCACGGTACAGTACGGTTTAACTTTTAACAACGTAATTCCCATTTACGGCCCGAGTCAATCAGGGTAAAAAACCAGTTGGAGTTCGTTAAATACTTATACTACTAATCATTATTAATTATGTTATCCTCTGTTTTTTTTGGGCGTGTAATTGAGTGTTTTGCTTGCCAAAAAAAATATTATTCATACCTTTTTAGTTAAAGGTCGTCCTAAAAATTACTAATCGTCGTCCTAACTTAATACGTAAATTACTTAATTACCCTTTTTAAAATTAAAACACAAACCCTAGCCAAACACTCCCTTCCTCCACTTCGCATCACTTCCCTTCCCCCGTCCACCAACAGCCGCCGACCTCCCCCGTCGCCCAGCCGCAGAGATACCACGGCGGGTCGTCGCCGTCAGTCACCCGCCGGCCCACCTCGCCCTTCCCCCGTCGCCGTCAGTCCTCGTCGTGCGCCGTCGCAGCCTTCCTCTAGTGGCCTGCCGTCCCACGCCGCCACGCACTCGCCGTCGCCGTCGCCGTCAGCCCTCCTCTCGCCTGCCGTCCCACACCGCCACGCACTCGCCGTCGCCGTCGCCGTCAGCCCTCCTCTCGCCTGCCATCCGTGCTCGCCGGAGAAGAAGGTAAGCCACTCGCAGTCACCGACCGAAGACTTCGGTTGAGCCATGGTCAAACCGAAGTCTTCGGTTTGACCATGGCTCAACCGAATGTTGACTTCGGTTTGACCATGGCTCAACCAAAGTCAATTTTCGGTTTGACCATGGTCAAACCGAAGTCAACATTCGGTTTGGTTGATTTTTAAATAATTTTAATTCAATTAATTAATAAAAATTGTTATTAAATATTGTAAATTATATAATAATTAGAAATAATTGTAGTTAATTATAAATAAGTTGTACGGTTTATAATTTATTATAAAAATTAAATTCGAATATTTTTATGAATTCAATTATGAAAAAAATATTGTGAATGATGTAATAAAAATTATTAAAAATTATCTGAAATTTATAAAAAGTATCAAAATTTAGAAATATAATCTATAAATTTGTAATTAATGTAACAAAAATATTAGAATAATGGGAAAATTAAAAAGTAGTTGAAATTAGACAAAAAGACTAAGAAAGTTGTAATTAATGTTAATAAATTATCAAAAAATTACAAAAAAATTAGAGAAAATTATCAGAAAATGTTAATGCATTTGATTATCATTAATTGTAAATCTTTTTTTTTTTTGAAGATGTCTGGACATGGAATGGGCAAACCGTACATGAATAAGAAAAGAATGGAAGAAAAAACGGAAGGAAGAATGGAAGGTCGTGCTTGTAGACTTACAGCGACCGATAGAAAAGAAAATGAAGAAAAAAATCCACGTAAGGTTAAGGGGAAGAAGAAGAAGGCGGAAATAGTGCGTCCCGACGGTCGCCCTACTATGGGGCAGTTATCTCTTAGTCGAGGTACTACCTCCACCCCTACTCCTGAGGATGCGACGCCGTGGGAGGCTAATTGGAGTGATTCAGTTTCTATGGACGACGACGACGATGATGATGATGATGTTGATGATGTGGCTGTTGATGAGGTTCGGGATGCCCCACCTGAATCTGATGTAGGCATCGGTAAGAAGAGACGAGTTGGGACATCTTCTACAGCTTCTTCGCACTTTCCACAGCGTGGGCTAGATGGACGCTACGTTGCGAGACGTAGTAGTGAGGAAGACGGTGATGGTAAGAAGAGGAAGAAGGGAGTAAGGGGGGACATGTCGTGGCGTTTGACATCGGAGTCTCAGATGTGTTCAGGTGGACCTGTGATCCCTAGCTTTGGAGGTCACATTGCCTTTGCACTGTGGACTTCCCCAGCACAGGATCGTGGGTTGTTGGATTGTTGTCATAGATCTGGTACTGTGGAGTCTTTGAGGAGGTATGAGTGGAGTTCAGAGGGTTCTCAGAAGGTGGTTGAGGGCACAGGATTGTCCCACTTGGCAGGCTGTATGATGCAGCATTTAGATACAGCTTTGATAACGGCATTTGTGGAGAGATGGCAGCCGGACACGAACACCTTCCATATGCCATTTGGAGAGATGTCGATTCTTCTCCATGACGTGCATCACATTCTTCGTATTCCAGTTGAGGGGGAGCTGATGAGAGATGATCCGGATCCAGATGTTCTTAAGTTAGACATGCATGATCTAGTTCGGGTCCCGGTGGATGGTCCTGTTGGTGGTAAGTGGAAGTCGAAGTGGTTCCTTAATGGTGGTATTCACGCAGAGGGATTGTTGGTGCGTGGACGAGAAATGAAGATTAGGGACTTGGAGGTGCAGACTTACTTGTTTGTGTTGTTGGGATCCACACTTTTTGTGGATAAGAGTCGCGATCGCCTCCGTCCTGCGATCAATGTATTTCTGAAGGACCAGCGACGAGTGGCCGGTTACGCCTGGGGAGCTGCTGCACTCGCCTATCTCTACAGACAGCTAGGGATGGCCACACGAGTGGGGAGTAAGAGTATTTGTGGTTGTTTGACTCTGCTTCAGGTCGGGCTTCAAGCTCTTCTACAACCTCGCGTCTCATCTGCAACCAATTGTTTTGGGACCCGGTAAGTGCTTGTGATATTGCTCGAAATCCGCAATGTCCATCCGGTTCTGGGTTGAACCAACCACGAATGTATGGTTGCACGTATGTTTCCAAACAATACAACCACGGGTAACTCCGCCAACCAGTATTGGGAGTTCTGATAACCCTCCAAGGGGCACCATCTGTCCCAAAATACACAACACAATGAATTAATACAAGAGGTATACAACATCTAATCATCTAAAATAGGGACACTACTTCTAACCTGTATCATTATGAGTATCTGGCTCCGTCCCATTCGTATTTGTGGACTCGAAGTTGGTGTGTGCATAAGGGATACCACCTAATATCATTTACAAAAATAAGTTAGTTATACATCATATTCTACACAATTGCACATAAATTTCCCAAAAAAGTACAACCTACCTGTCTGTTGGTCATTGTCCGGTGTTGTGGTCGAAGGTATCGAACTTCTCCTCCCCCATCTCCTCTCCACATGCTCGAAGTGAGAAAGGTTTCGCGTGGTGGATGTCCTCGGGCGACCGGGTCGGGGCTGCCCCCCATGCGGCTCATCAATGCCATCATTTTCAGGATGAAGATGACTGCGAAGTAGGCCAATAGCCCCTCGAATGGTCTCATCTCCCCTATCAAGAACCTCCTGTACTAGACCTTGGAAGACATCACGATGGTAAAGACTATCGTCATCCCACTCTGCCCGAGTAGGAGGTTCACGATAGTTCATAATGGTCCAAAAAGCTAACACCTCAGATGGGGCAATGTCCCTCTTTTCAGAACGTGCTAACTGCATTGCACATCTACATGGGAGACCAAAGGTAGCAGGAAACGTACATGTACAACTTGCTCCTTCCACTTATACCTCAATGAGCATCAACCTCATAGCCTGTAGAGTGACGTTTGTATGCAACTCCCGAAATGGTCTTCCGTAAGCTAGTAACATCTTCTTTAATCTAGAATCCTCTAGAAGCTTTTGGATTTGAAGATGTTGAGCCTCAATGTAATCATGGTTCTTCTTATAAACCTACAAACAAAGAAAGAAAATTAGGATACTAGATTAAGTAAAACTTCTAAAGAAGACACAAATGAAAATTTATTAAGAGACTAACCGTGTCGATTGCACCAGTTGCTGATTGAAGCCACTTCTTGAAGGATGAATGAGCATATTCAACCCGATTTGAGCTTGTATTACCCAAATGTCGCACTTGGTTTGTATAACATGTTGCCCACATGTGCTTGTTTGATAACCACTCATCTGACAAGTACCTCCAAAGACGTGGATACTGTACTCCCCAACTACCCCTGAAACTGTCTAAAGCTCTATTCATGCCTTCCTCACTGCCGGCATATACAATCCTTTTCCAAGACACCATGATCAGATCCACTGTCGGTTGGGCTGCATCTATCCCACAATGAGACGTCCTCCTCACCTCCGTTAGACACCGTGCTCTCACATTCCTGTCTACATGCCAAAGGCATAGTATATGAGTCGATGATGGAAACATTACCCCCACGGTCTCAACCAATCCTCCTGCTTTGTCACTAACAAATACATCTGGAGTGATAGGGCCAAGCAAATGTTGCAGATGCGTGAGAAGCCACTGGTACGACTCTTTTGTCTCGTCATACACTAGCGCAGATGCAATGACAAAATTCAATCCCACCGGTGTCATGCCAACAATCTCAACCCATGGAAACTCATACTTGTTGGTCTTGTATGTTGCATCTATCACAATGACATGGTGCCAAGCTCGCAACATCAATATTGACTCAGGGTGGGCTAGGAACAAGTGTGTAAGCATGTTACGGTCATCCACATACTGCACATAGTAACCCTTCTCCAGAGCATCTTGAAAAGTGTACTGTAAGGCCGTCCTCTGACCAAGCTCTTCTTTTCTTATCTTATACAATGCGTTAGAAATCTGTCTTTTGTTCACCTTTCCATGCTCCCCTTTTCTCTCGTTCACTGCCTTGTGGATATTCCTTGGGGCGACACTGGCTAATCTCAGTTGTCTGATGTATTGCTTATCATCTTCGGTCAAAACATTCCTCTTACTTGATCCATTCGGAAATAGCTCCAGCAGATGATTGTGAAAACCCAAATTAGCACCAGGATTCTTTCTATTAGCCACTGCTAGTATCAACCAATATCCATCATCTGACCGCTCAATCTTGATCTGAAATTCACACCCCAACTTTCCAGAAGAAGTAAGAGGCCTCCTTTCCTTAGCCGGATCAGAATCAGGAGCCTTCGAATTTTTCTTTCTACCATGAGTGCACTTCAAGTATCGTCGCCTACTATCTTCACTTGGATTTTTTTTATTTGATGCCTTCACCAAATAAAACCCAAAACCCTTGGCAATCTCAGTAGCTGCTGCATATGCAATCAAATCTGTATCGTATTTTACTCCATTGACGAATTCTGAGGTGTAATCTTTGCCATCCCCTCCGTAATCATCAATATCCTACAATGTTAGATCTCATGATATAAGTATGACTCCACAATAATAGAAAATCTAACGACTACATTTAATTTAATAATTATCACAAATAATTTAGCATTCTCTATATTATCCTAAGCAAAATCCAACATTTAACACGACAAAATTTAGCATTCTCTATTATTTACATACTATACATCTAATGTAAGAATCATATTAATCACATTCTATAATTTTTTTATTGCGTATTATACATCTAATCTTAATTTTGTATACAAAAACAATCAATTTTGACAAATAATTAGGCTCATAAATTTTAAAAATAATATAAACTAAAATTCAATAAACAATCTTATAGACCAAACTATAAATCATAACAATAAAATATAAATATTTGATATAAACTTAAAAAAACCCAAAAACCACCAACAGAAGCAAATTTTCGGTTCAACCATGGCTAAACCTAACCCAATTTTCGGTTTCACCATGGCCAAACCGAAATACAGGTTCGGTTCCACCGTGGACCAACCGAAACCAATTTTCGTTTCACCCATGGCACAAATGAAGCAGATTTTTGGTTCATCCATGGCTCAACCGAATGTGATTTTCGGTTGGTTCATGGTCCAACCGAAACCGAATGTGATTTTTTTTTTTTTTTTTAAAACGAGATTTTTACCTCGTCGGAGTCGCTACTCATTGTTCGGACGTATTCTCGACGATTTCGGCTTCCAAATGTCGATGATGAATTCGAGAGTGTGGGAGAATGAGTGTTTTTTGTTTTCTAAGTGAATGTGGTGTTTGTTTGCTAAAGGAAAAGTAAAGATGTCAAAAGGTTAAAAGTGTAACTTTGTTGTTTTTTAGGACGATCATTAGTAATTATTAGGACGACCTTTATCAACTCCCTAATTTAAATACATTCTTCTCCGCTAGCTGTTTCTGTCCGCCTCCATCTCTCTCACTGTCGCCAGCCTTGCTTTGCTCCCGCCTCCGTCGCCACCTCCAGCTAGGGTTTAGGATTGGGGATCAGCTGCTGGAATTCCGATTGCTCCAGCGTCGGAATTCAGTTCCCTCCGACCATGGATCTCCCGACACTCGCCGCCGTCCTCCAAGCTGCTCTCAGTCCCAACCAGGAACAGCGGAAGGCTGCTGAGCAGAGTCTTGATCAGGTTAACCTCCTCTCATCAGTTCACTTTTTGTTCATTTTAGCGCTGCTGGTTTGTTCGTGGAGTTTCACTGCTAGCTAGCTACTGGTGTGGTTGTGACGAGTAGGCGACTGTTGCATTCAATTCAAGCTGGATTGGCAAATTCTCGTGTTGTCGGTGCAACTGCTTGGTTGATTGAATTTGTTTGTGCTAGGATGGTTGAATTTGTGAACGATGAGTATTTTGTTTGTCGATGTATGATTTGGTGAGCGAGTGACGGTTTGCTTACGGTTGTACGAATGCCAATTTGTTGTTGCAGATACAGTTCACTCCTCAGCACCTGGTCAGGGTGTTGCAGATCATCGTGGATAATAATTGTGACACGGCGGTGCGGCAGTTCGCGAGTATCCATTTCAAGAACTTCATTGCAAAGAACTGGTCTCCTCATGACACTGGTACTTATCTTCATTTTGTGGTATTCTGCTTGTCTGAGTGTGTGGGAGTATCTAGTTTCATATGCTTACGATGTTTTGTTGTCTTATTGTTTGATGTAGACGAGCCTTCGAAGATTGCGCATAGTGATAAATAGGTAGTCAGGGATCACATCCTCGTTTTTATTGCGCAAGTCCCCCCGATTTTGAGGTATAGCAACTTGTAGATCAATGGATCTACCGATTTTTTCCATTGCTACTTAGTAGTATCTGCTCCTTTTTGGGATCGTTCGTCATTTTTTCTGTTCCTGAAGTTGGTGGATTATCTATATCAAGTGTTATTTTTTATGAGCAATAAACTAATTGCTAATATTATTGTTGCTCTAATATAAGATGCTTATAATTTGCAGAGTACAGCTAGGTGAATGCCTGAAGACAATCATCCATGCTGATTACCCGGAGCAGTGGCCACGTTTGCTGGAATGGATAAAGCATAATCTGCAGGATCAGCAAGTCTATGGGGCTTTGTTTGTTTTAAGGATTCTATCGAGAAAATATGAGTAAGTGATTGTTGGTGGTTCTTTTACAGACTAAGTGAGATTGCATGGAGATTCAGTTTTTACCTGCTGATACTTCTGTGCTATAGGCTTCTTATGATTCTGAATATGGCAATGAGCTCTTTGTCTGACTATGGCTATCTTGTTTCGATTATCGATGAACATGCATATGGTGTTCATTTCAGTGTCCTTAAAGAAACCGGGTTAGGATTTATTCTTGTATACAATCCAAAGAGATCAGGTCTAAGTAAATATTATACTTCTCGCTATTAGATTTCTGTTCTGTTTTCGTGTGAGGAGGATTTCAGTTAAGCTACTTACATGTAGCTGTCAGTTATTGATGGCATTTCGCAATTTGTTGGGTAATGTGTTCTGCATATTTTGGGAAGTTTGCCCTTTCTTGTTGACGAACTTTGCTGTAACTTAGGTCCGGACGTCCGGTGGCTCTCTGTTGCTTTTGTTAACTTCTAATTAGTTTTCCATTCGATTGCTTTCAAGAATGTGCTAGTCTTGAGTGGCAAGTTATTTTTCTTGGCATAGTTAGCTGATTCTAATTCCTCGTGGTTACACTTACCCTGATCGCTTTGTGCTTAGGTTCAAGTCCGACGAGGAAAGGATTCCTGTTAATCGAATAGTT